TTGTCTTTGGCCAGCAGGTCCTTCTGCTGCTCTGCATTCTCCAACATTTGGATGCGCCCGTGCCTCGAAATTCAAGCATTCAATGATGTTCAATGTCAGTGGAAAACCACATGCAAACTTCTGCGCGCAGTCGAGCATCAGGACTTGTTTCTCCTTCTCAAGTGCAACTTTCTGCTGTGCAACACCTTCCAAAGCTTCCATGCGTTTTTTCCTCGGCCAGTTCACTGTTTGGAGCCAAGAAGCTCTTTAGCGAGACTGGCCGATCGAGGGGCTCCCTCTCTCAAAGCCATGAAGAGCATGGACCGTCAGATTTGCTGTCGCACTTACTGTGATTGCTGGGGAGGCCACTGTTGCCTCAATATCTCGATACTTTCCCCTGCTCGAAGTTCTGCCTGCAGGCACATTGCTTTGGCCCTCTTGAATCAGTGGTGCCATCTCATGAGAGCTGTCAACTTCGTCTACAACCTGGACCGAATCAACCTCAGTTTCCTTTGATAGCTCTCCAGTCCTCTTTCAGTTGCCCCTCCAATTCGCAACATTGAGACTTCAACGCAGCAGCTTCATCGAGCCTGCAACTTGAAGGACGCGAGGATTGAGTGAAAGCTATGCGGGGGGATTGTGGGGTGGCTTCAGTTCTGATCCCTTGCATGCAAGTGCAGTAGGCAACCAAACCTTCGAAAACATGCTATTGACTACATATTTATTGACAACGAACAATACGGCTCCGTCTGCATTGGCAAAGGTTGATAGATTCGATGGTCCAGGTCGCCAAGCACTTGCCACTGCACTTGCCGCTTCCCAACAGATTCGGATCCACTCTGCCTCTGCTCCAGGCTCTTCATATGCATCTCGCCCATCTCATCTGCGCCTGTCACACTTCAGCCACAACGTCCAATCAACATACTTGTACTTGGTTTGCTAGTAGCATTTGAGGCCACCGCTATTAGAAACAAAGACAAAGAAAAAAGAAACGGAAGAAAGGACTCTAATGCTAATGACGCTCATGCTTCACCCAGCTCGGTGGCTCTTTTCGAGCGACTTTGGGCTGACGACTTGGCAAGTACTGAAAGCAATTGTGCCGAGCTCTGCCGCCACTCTGGGCACCAAAAGAAGCAAATTTGCGGAACAAAAAGGCCACAAGTCTATTGTTGTAGTCCAGTGCCGCCTCTGGCAATTCTGCCACGTGTGCTCTTCACGAAGCACTGTGTGGCAAATCTGTACTGTACACGCTATTCTACGGGCAATTTGCACCCTTGAAGCACCAGAAGGTGGCCCACAAAGTTGGAGGACATGCCATGTATGAGATGAACAGAACTATTCTTCCAAATGCACAGTGTCCCTAAAGCGTTTGTGTTCAGCTACAAAGCCCAAACTCCCAGTGCCATGACGGGGAGCACCCCAAGTCCCCCAAGCCCCAAGCCTTGGGCTGATGAGATGGTGGTGCTCGATGGGCTTGAGTCGACTGTGGGAAGCTCAATCTGAAGTGAGGGTCCAAAATTCTTCGCCGACTCGGCCAAATGGGCCACGGCACTACTCACCCTGGTCCACCCAGATGGGCCCCAGTAGGACAAGTCTCGCTCAGTAAGCGGGAAAATCAAGACTTCTGAGTCTCCAGGCTGAAGAATCGCAGTCTTCTGAAATCCTTTCAGAATGGCCACTGGTTGTTCGGCCTCTGGAGGAAATTCCATGTAGAGCTGGGCCACAGTGCGCGAAGGCCGAGTGCCATTGTTCATCACGGCTGACTTGACACATAAAAGGTAGGAGGTGAATTGGTATGGGCACCTTGGAGGCTTCGCAATGAGGTCAGATGTAGCACAAAGACCATCAAAGAACAAGTGTCCTTGTCTTTAAGACCATTCCCTTTTCCTCTGTTTCATTGAAAAACTTAGCCAACCTTACACCTGTTTCAACACCATATAAGGCTCAACGACGCCTAGGTGCTCTACGATCTGTGCATCCGAGTAGATGAATTGGGAATAGCTCAAGCCATGTCCGAAAGGGAAGGTTGCCTTGAAGGAGGTGTTCCGGTAGCTGGTGGCCAGCCCCTCACTGTACACAATGGTCGCCTCCTCACTTGGGGCTATGGTATCTGCTTCGCTTTCAGGCATCATGATGGGAAGCCGTCCGCTAGGTGAGATGTCTCCAAAAAGGACCGAAGCCCATGCCGATCCTGTCTCTTGCCCTCCCAAAAAGAGCGCAAGAATGCCGCCCACCCCCTCATGCCAAGGCATCAGCACAGCTCCGCAGACCTACAAAGCAGGGCCCTTTCCTACCGTTCCCGGCGTTGCCAGCAGTTCCAACAGCAGGGGGGAGAAACACATTCATGGAATTGATCAACTCGATTTCCCCCCCTTTTTGGCCTGCATCAAGACGACGGTCTTAGAAGATACATTGGCCACCGCTGTGATGAGATCATCCCCCTGATTCTCCAGTTGCAAATTGGGCCGGTCCACTGACTCACCACTGGTGGCACCCACCACTACGATGGCCACGTCGGCCTCTGCTGCAGCCTCACGTGCTGCAGTGAGATTGTTGCTTGGGCTGGCGATGACTTCGATGTTCTCCAAGGCCGCCCTGGCACCTACGAACAATTGTGAACGAGGACTTTTCTTGGATTTGCGCAACTAGCAAGTTGATGCAGATTGTAGCATGCCATGTAGCACCTAAACTTAAACAACCACTTCAATCTTCTAACATAAGCATAACCACTGGAGAATCAACGAGAAAAAAAAACATATGGGTAGGATAATTGCACATATAATTAAGCACAATTGAGTTGCTCAAGCCATGCAAGGTCTTGACAACATCTCCGGTGAGGTGACCACTGCCGCCGCCAGAGTAGTAATCACCGGAAAACCATTCCATCCCCAGTCCCTGCCCTGCTCCAGCCGGGTCATAGGATTCACCCACTGCAACTGATCCGATGATGGCTATCTTGCGGATTCCAGACGCATTGGTGATGGGCAAAAGTCCATCCTGGTTCTTGAGAAGAACGATGGATTCAGCGGCAAGGCTCTTGGCCAAGGCTTGATGAGAGGAGCTGGTCACATTCCGCACGAACCATTCTGAACAATTTGGAGGCGAGCAGGAGGACGTCTCAGGCAAATTCACTTTATTCATAGCTGCCAGGATGCGAGTGACAGCATCATCCACACGCTCTGGGTGTCTGGAGGTATTCATAGGACTTAGGAACAATTCAGGTGCCCTGCCCGGCATCTCTTGATCGAGACCCTCAAGGAAAGATGCTTCATGTACAGCCCACCAATCAGACTGAACAAAGCCTTCAAATCCAAGCTCTCCTTTCAATACATCATTCAAGATGTAACTATTGGAGCAAGCATATTTGCCATCCACCTTGTTGTAGGAGCACATGGCACCTCCAACACCAGCTTCAATGGCCGCCTCGAAGGGTGGGAAGTATAGCTCACGTGCCGTCTTCGGATCGACCACGGAGTTCTCAGTGCCTCGGTTGGTCTCCTGGCTGTTGAAGACCCAATGCTTCATCACGGCGAGGACGCCCTGTTGGCGTACTGTGGGGGTCCCAAAAGGAAGATATATAGGTTTTCCCTATTCAGTGAGCATGATGACTCACATGTTACTAACAGATTGTCACAACTAACCTCATATTCATATTCATTCAAAACATTTCAAAACCCTTGCCTGAGACTGAACTCCACGCACGTAGGCTTTGCTTAGCTTGGAACCCAAGTAAGGGTCGTCCCCAGCGAGGTACTCAAAGGACCGACCGTTGCGTGCCACGCGCTGCACCTGCACTCCAGGCCCCAAAATCACGTTCGCACCTTTCCCTCGGAACTCTTTGCCCACAGCCACGGCAAAGTCTTGGACAGCTGTTGGGTCCCAAGTTGCAGCCATTGCCAAAATCGAGGGCCAAACCGTCACTGTCCCCTTCAAGTCGGTCCAATAAGTGCGAAACCCATCAGTGGCATCTTGCATGTTCAGGCTCGGAATTCCAAGTTCTGGCACGGCTGGTGTGTTCCCCACATAGAAAAAACGTGGCAAGTCAAACCACCATTGTGTATCTACCCAGCCCGAGCCTTGGAGAAGGCTAGTCTTTTGTTCCAAGCTCATGAGCTTCACCGTCTCTGCGGCCTTGGCCTTTGCATCTTCCCAAGATAACAACTCTGGAAGCACAGGAGGCTCAGGACGCTTTGTTGGTGCTATGCCATAAGTGCAAGCTCCTGCATAGCTCCCAAGCGCGTCACAAGCGACATTCCATGGGAGTCCACTGGCTGCCCTGGGCCCTGCCATAGCCTCCCCGAGGCACCACCAATCATCTTGGGCATCCAAGGACCAGCAAGCGACGATAGTATCAATGGGGCAGCGATCTGCTGTGAACGTGGGCTTGTTTTTGCACAGGTCCAAATCCAACACCAACTCTACATCCGGCCTTCGGGCGGACTGCCATGGAGGGCCGGGAGAGACGAAGGAAGCTCCAGCGACCCAGGCAGTCGCAAGCTGCCGCCAAACCATGGTGCCAAGTGAAACGAAGACAATAGTTTGAATTGAGCTGTGAGCCTGCGCATGGCATACGGGAAAACAACGGCAGGATATATACTATTTCAAGGGTTTGAGAAGCACCACTGCATAACAACCCCGTCTTGAACAAGACATGACTGACTGACAGACTGACTGATGGCTCAAAGGCAGCCAGAGGCAGTTTTTGAGAATACTTGATCAACAAAGCTCGAAAGAGTCACTAAGCCTTGCAACCGACGCAGCTCGTCTGTCAACATGGCTGATCTGGCACGCTCTGCGGCCAGCTCCTTGGTCAGAGTGCCTAAAAATCATCTAAGGAGGTGAGAAGCACAGGACAATCCTATTGTTTTAATCGCTTATAACTATAACTCTTAGATTTGCGATCCTGGTGCCAACAGCGAGAGAACATGCTAGAAATTGCTAGAACACATCCCTGCTTGACTTGCCTTGGTCCAGAACATGTTGAAACCTGCAAAAGCTCCCTGGCTGAGAAGTGCTTCTTCTAGACTGTAGCAGTGTTCTGACGAAAGGCATGCGTGGTCTATCACAACAACAAAGGCAATAGGGGCAGGCCGAGTCTCTTTAGCAGAGACACTCTGCATCTCTTGCCACACCTTTTCCAACCTGCAGGTGTTGCAAGTACATGAGGCTGCCACACTCTGGCGCTCTGCATCTCTTGCCTTTGCCAAACCTTTAAGTTGGATGAACTTTCTTGGGTCAAGTCATGTTTTGACCGTGACGACTGAGGCCCCAACATGACGTGCATGTGTGAGGTGGTCCCCATTCCCCACTTCCCATTCTTGTGGAATAGCCGGAAACACAAACGGGTGGGACTTTGAACTCAAAACAAGTCCTGTGAAACATTAACAACACAACATATATCACCATGCCATATTCTTCCAGAAAGGCCTGTTGTGGGCGGCAGAAAACTGAACAATTTAAACATGATTAATTCATTTCAGTTTCCTTTTATGTACAGTATTATATATTTATATATTTCTATTTATAGCCTTCATTTCATTTTTATTAAAAAACGAGATGGTTTGTTTTTCCTTTTAAGCATGGCTATTTCCTTTCATTTCCCTTTGCAAAGTAATGAGCAGAATTGATATTCTTAAAAGAAAATGAAAGGAGTTGATCATTGTTTAAAGGGAAAATGCAAGTAGTTTTATTAACGTATCCTTTTTTAACGGATACTGAAAGGAATTGTTACGTTAATCCTTTGTTATTTGTTTCCTTTTCATCTTCTATTCCTAGAGTACTGTCATGTTTTTCCTTTCTTTATTCCCATGTCCAGCTCTATTTTTCTAATTTTGATTCCTATGTTTCCTGAAAAAGTATGTGCTCAAAAGTGCAATCTTTTCATACCCGAGTTCATTTCATTTAGGATTTGCAAGAAACAATAACATTTGTCTCATTTTTCTGCCGCCCACAACAGGCCCCTCTCTATTCTTCCCATGCCGCTTGTTGCTTTGACATCTTGGACAAAGAAATTCCTCTGGGCCGCGGACTCTTCTGCCTCTCGCTGAGCCATCGCAGCAAAGGCCTCAAACATCTCCCGAGCTGCTGTGGATCCGCCGGCCTGATCACCAGGGAATGCACGCTGCTGGAAAACCTCTATTGAGACCCAGCAAGTTGGCACAAGCCACTTCAACATAGATCTTTCTTGAAAAAGTTTTCCCGAAAGCATTGCGAAGGGTTCTTCCGGAAAATCCCTTGAGCACTGACACTTCGACACTTACCCTTACACACTGACACTTCCACACTTGCACTTGAACAATAGCATCCAAGGGTAAGTGTGCAAGTGTACGTATCCAAGTGCAAGTATGCAAGTATGAGTATGGAAAGCTTGCAGGGGAGATGTCCAAAAAAACTTGCACGGGAGATGTCCCAATGAAAAGCATTTTGAGAAACATTTCCCCACCTTATAATTTCTCTCTTAAAGGCGGAGGGTGGGACGAACAGCGTCAACCGAAAATGCAGCCCTCTGCGGAGATCGTGCGTGTTGAGCGCGCGAAATGCAGGCGAGAGTGCGATTTGTCCGGTGTGCGCGCAACCCTCTGCGGAGATCGTGCGTGTCGAGTGCGCGAAATGCAGGCACTGGCGACTTTCTAGTACTATTTTAGTACGCGGAGCATGTGGGGAGCTGGAAGATGAGAATCTGGGGAGCTGGAAGATGAGAAGTACGCGGAGCAATCTGTGGAGCTGGAAGCTGAACGCGGAGTATCTGGGGAGCTGGAAGATAACTGGCGACTTTGTAGTACAACTTTAGTACGCGGAGCAATCTGTGGAGCTGGAAGCTGAGAACTGGCGACTTTGTAGTACAACTTTAGTGCGCGGAGTATCTGGGGAGCTGGAAGATGAGAACTGGCGACTTTGTAG